AAAAAAAAAGTTGGGGGCCCCCGCGCCCCCCCTGAGGGGGGGACAAAAATTTTGACCCCCCTAGAAGATGGACCCCTTTAAGATAGCAACATTCCCAAAGTTTCGTTTTTCTATCTCTAACCGTTCAAAAGTTACGAGGGGGGGTACGGACTTTTGGGACACCCTGTACATGTATATACTTCTTTAGGTCATCCCTTACGGAAATGATGAACAAACGGCCAAAAATCAAGACTTGAAAATTGAGAATGTTACAGGACGAGTCTCAGATAACGTTCTTGGTTCTTGGTCGCCGCGCCATAAGTAAGTAACATTATTCCTCCAGAGAGCCAATGTAAAAATTGCTTTCAGGTAAAATGCCATCCTCCTCTACCAATTTCTAACCTGAAAAATGTATTTGATGTGGGTCAATAAGCCAAAAGGGTCCGCGAGTTCACACATCGCTTCATCGCGCCTTCAATTTTCCAGACGCAACACTGACATCCGTCAAGCACGAATAGTTGTATCTCTGCGCCGTCATCAACGCGCATCCTTTCCCTTGCTATACTCCCATACTGTTGTTTGTTCCATTTGTCTCGTTGGTGGTGTACTTCAAAGTTTACGTGAGCAACACGACCGAAGATAGGAAAGACGTAATCCGGCCTCGTTTTTTAACTTACCTTTCGAATCCTTCACCAGTAGCATAGAACAAAGCATTGCGGGCTCACGTTTCTCGGCATCGCGCCTTCAATTTTGCTTATGCAACATGGACATCCATCAAGCGCGATTAGTTGTATCGTCTCGAGGCGTCTCTTATTTTTTTTAATTTGAGAGGAGTTACAATTGCTTTTCTCCCTTCGTATCTTTTCTTTCCTTTCAATTTGGCGCCCTTGTTGTGATGACTGCCGTGCTAAGGAAGAATGCCGTATGAACATTCGAGAGTTGCCAAATTTCCCACGATAAAACATGTATTTTTGAGGACATTCACGTACATTTTTCTTTGAAATTTTCAGATATTTTAGATTAAATTTCGTAGAAAAATTTTCTAAAAATTTTGGGGGAAAATATTCACAATTTTCCCAGTAAATTCGTTTTTTATCGACGGAAACTTGGCAACGTCTGAAGGCTCACACGGCGTTCTTCCTTAGCACGGCAGATGACACCTAGCCCAGTCGCTTCTCATGCACCACCTTTAACCCGGCCTTGTCCGTAATATGTCTGCCTCGGATGTTAATAATTCAAATATTTCCCTCCTAAAACCCTATTGACTTTCAATGACTAGTGACAGAAATTCCTGGTTTGATCACATCGCGAACTTTTCTTCTCGGCTTGGTAAGAACAATTCAGTGTTTGGAGCCTTATATTAAGCTAGATCTGACTTTTACAGGCAACTTATCTTTTTTCCTCGCTAGGAGCTGTATGAGTCAAGGTTTTTCCTTCCCGTAGATATCATATGATTCCTTCATTCGAAAGTATCTTAAGTGATTAAAAGTATGTAAAATTGGAGCGTCTTTTGTGCGTCATTCTTTTCTGCCCGGGAAAAATCGCCGTGACGTAAGTGCACGAATTGACGACTCCTCCACAAAGAAGTCAATTTTCAGTCTCGCAGACTAGATGCGAGTTGGCTCGGCAATCGTATCGACACGACCTCGTCACGCCTTTAAGGAATCTTCGCTGAAACCAGTGAAATCTCTCTTGAAAACGAGTGTTCAGAAACATGAGAGAATAATAATGGGGAATGAAAATGGAACCTGAAAATAATAAATGCAAAAGAAGAAAAGAAAAAAAAAACCATAAAGAGAAAAGGAAGAAAATGGGTAAAGTTTAAAGGAGTTGGTAGATAGGGTGGGGGCTGAGGGTGGCCTGATGGTTTGAGAGTCGGGGAGGGGGGGGGCACAGGGGAGAGTCGGGATGTAAACATTAGCGTAAATTCACAAAGGAAATTCAATTTGTACTTGAGCAAAAGGGAAGAGCATTTCTTTCCCAAGCTATAAGGAGTGGTATGTGCCCGTGCGTGCGCATAACGGCCCTGCTTTACATGTAAGCTTTATTATTCCGCCCCCCTTTTTATATTACCCCCTGAGACACTCGTAATATTGCCCTTGTAATGCTCCCCTTCATAATATTGGTACAATTTAAAAAAGCAGAGCTTCGGTACTTGTTAAGTATCTGAATCCTTTCATATCTCCTCGTTATGATTCCTCTTAATGGGGTGTGCTGTAGACTTCAACTTTATTTATCTACTTAATGATTAGCTATCAACTTTTTTTGGAACTTGATCATACGACTCCTGCGCTTGTTCAACCTCTTTCATAATTAATTTTAAGCTTCAGAAAAGTCATCGTATGAGCCAATGAGAAAAAGAAAAAGATATAATTAAGTTCTTGAGGTCTCAAAATGTAAAAATAATCGGTAGATCGATTTTCATCGACAGCGCTCAACGTAATGGAACCCTTCCTGAGTTACTTCACTGAGAGCGGCAGAATTGTTGGGCCCTCAGGTGGATTGCGTGTATAAAAGACGGAAGAATCAAAACATCTCGAATTGTGAGCGTTACCATGCAAAATAACACATGATGTGCATTTTATGTTTACCTACGAAAAGTTTTAAACTATTGCTCCACATTGTGAACACACTTTTGTGGCAACCCCAAAACCCAATTCACACTAGATTGACGTTGAATTACCATGACTAAGGTGAGATGCCTTTTTCACTATCGAAATAGATTAAAAGAAAAATCAATAAGATCTCCCAACAATGGTTAATTAATTAATTTTCTGAAAAATAAGGTTGATAATATGTACTTATTAATTTTAAAGACTTGTTTTTTTTTCTAAGTCGTATTCGTCTCAAAATATGTGGACGGTGCCGGTTGCCTTACTCCAATTAGGCATATCCATGGGGGTAAATAGAATAATTTTCTAGAGGGTGCAGCCTAGTTTCAATTTTTCCAGGAGAAGTCTGGGTCCTGGGAAGGAGTTCTTAGGGGTTCATTCTTAGATTTTTTTTTAGAATTTAACTTTTTTAAATGGATTTTAAGGCTGTTCTCAAATGAAATATGGCCGTATGCAAACCTTATGTTCAACTTTACCCATGGGTTCTNGGGGGGGGGGGGGGGAGGGAGGAGGAGGAGGAAATGATACCATTTTGAATTCCAGGGGGATAGGATCACACTATGGCCCCTTGAGAGCTACGTCTACAGGAATATCTTGTGAAACCTTTGGCGCTGTTTAAAGTTGAACATATACCATAACATAGCTGCTGCTTCGTTTTGAGAGAAAGTGAGGAACCGGAAATTCAGGTCATACTGAATGTTTAACAGGAGTTTTTCAAAAGGACAATATTTATTCGGCGAACAGCGAGCTCCGTGACTGAGGGGCCAAAACACAGAATGTTGAGATGATTTTGAAGCGGAAGCGAAGTGATTTGAAAAGAGACGATGGATGAGGCGGTAAAACGAAGTGGGTCGGGGAGGGGGTTGAGTTTGAAGCTGCACAAAAGTGGTGTTGTATGTTTCAATTCAATCGATACATTATTTTCTCTAAAAAGGTTCATGAGGTTTATTTCCACAGGTGAGTGAGGAGAGGAGAGATATATAGCATTAGTGCGGCAAGGAAGTATTCAAGAAACTCGGGAGATTACGAATTGAATATTGCACGAGGAATACGAGGATGTAAGATTGAAAATAGTGACGGAAAGATTGATCCAAACTCATTTCGCTGCGAAGCCCTCACCCCAACACCCAGTTGTTCTTTAATGCATAGAGACTGGAAACTGGAGAGGATGGGGGTGGGAACAGGCAAAGAGAGAAAGGTTGCCATATTCATTTGGCCAAGTGTTCACTGCTCGGTAAACAGCCAACGAAAGTTCATCACTCTCTGCTCTCCTGACGCCGCCCCCCATTTCCCTCTTCCTCCTTTAATCCAGCTTCGTCATAATATTCCCCGGGCACTGCCAGCTGGAACAAAAACCACTTCTCACTTATCAGATTCATCCAATATTTCCTTCTACTTAATTGCCTGTCCCGTTACAACAAGTTTGCCCCAACTCATTGTTACATTGACAACTGCGTCTCTAAACGTCTCTCAGCTAGTCTCGTAGCTAGCTCGCGAATCAAGGGCAAAATTATGAATTCTTTTGCAGAAAGCTCAAGGTAGATGAAGCCTATTAATATCAATTTATATTCCTCTGTATTTCAAATTGTCTGCGTGGCTCCATTTTTCCAGCGGTTAACTATTGTCATTTATTAGGCTATTCATTACTTTTTATTTTCTTATTGGTAAATGTCAGTATGAACTAATTTTCATCTCAGATTATGAAAGAAATTTTAATAATTTACAAACCTCCGAAAAATGTGTATGCTTGAGTTAAGGGTGTTTAAAAACACAAAAAAATATTCGTTTCCAAAAATAAAAAATCAGCAAATATAACGAATGATTTGATAATTTTCATTAGAATCTGACATTTAACGTTTCATTGGAAACCAGGCGGCGATCCACCCGACTGCCTCGCGATCCAACCCCCTGGAGTGCTTTGTGCCTTAGACGTTATGCATTACACACTACTCTTGTGAGTCTTTATTACAGAGTAAAAATATATGAGGTCTTGCCGAAATTTTAGCCGCGCAAAGCCTTGTCAACATTTAATCAATATGCTATTAGGTTTTTAAATTTTAAAGTTCAGAGCTTCGAATTTTTCAAAATAAGATTTTAAGAGTTGAGTGTTTCAAAATAAGATTTTTCGGGTCAAATCTTTACCATAGAATTTGATCTAATATCCTTCGTTTCTAAGACACTTCTCTGATGTGGGTCGGTCAGAAAGCAAACACATTTTGAATGGAAACGAGATACGACCAGTGGCGCAACGTTCTTCGCGATACATCGATTTCTCTGTCATTCAAACCTTTTATTCAACCTCATTCAAATGAAGAACCACTGTTTCTGGACCATTTTTGAAACATCATATGTGCCGTTTCTCTATATAGATAGGAGCTTCCATGGATGAGTCAGAAATAGTGGATATTTGTTGCGAAATTTTATCCATTTCCGAATTCGCACAACGGATTCGTAGCGAATGATTATCGTTCTGGCTCAGGATGTCAGTTTCATCTGATAGTACATTGAAACCGATGGGAAAGGATCGATAAACAGGGTGTTCGCAACGAACACCTTAATAATCGATTCTTTACGCAGCCGCAAATGGGGTAAAATCGATAATCGATCATTCACGCCTCGCCACTGGTTATAACAAGTGAGAGCACTAACCAAATGGACTTTGGGGCAGTGGCGATTATTGCAGTAATTGGCAACACTGATTTTCCTTCACTTAACTACATTATAAAAATTGATTCCAGGTGAGGCAATCGATTGCTTTACATACGAGAAAATGGAGGGAAAACAGTGGCGCCAATTCGCAAGACTCACCACTGCACCGTAGTGGACGAGAAAGAACGCACGTGATACGTTGTACAGAGTGGTGTAAAAGTATGCGGCTGGCGGCAATGCAATCACGAAGGGGTTGCTAAACTTTTTGGGAATTTGAATAGAACGGCGATGGGCGGTGGGGGAGGCGAGGGAGGGAGAGCAGCGGTAGGGGGAGGGGGAGGAGGGTGGAGGAGGGTGGGCAGGAGGCCGAGAAAATCGGGAAATGTGCGGAAAGAGCAAGACAGAGGAGGATGAACTCAAGCCGAAAATACTCATGTTCTGTGCTCAAAGCTTCGACCTCGAGGGGATGCACGAAGGAGCAACTGAGACTGTTTGACGGCAAAGGTCATACCCCGGTTCCAAAGTTCACGATGAAAGGGAGCCTCACACGAGAGGAAAAAATGCCTGCACCTAATGTATTCGGCGAAAATGATTGATGGCGAGGCCCCGAAAATGATGATTGTGTATTGATGATGATGAAAATTACAATAAAGATAATAAAAACATCCATGCTCCAAGTTATGAAAACTCTTACAAAAGGGATGAGGTCTTAAAATAGCGTCTCCATGGCAACCAAATGATATATCGATCCCCGCTCCTCACCACCACACAGCAAGTATAATAAAAACACAGACGCAGCCACGGAAAGTATTATAAACACACATTACTCACATACACTTCCCGTTGTAGGTATGTGTTGTTATTACTTCGTGCTCCCTTCCGAACCCTTTATTCATACAAATGAACTTTAAAAATATTAAAAATTATTTTTTCCTCTCACTTGTTACCGTGTGCAACGTCAGAATTGAATATACAATCTTCATGCAGGAGATTTGATTTTTCTTTCTCCCTCTCCTCATTTTCCCCGTTGAATCAATGGTTCTCTTGCTCTCTTGCTCCCTTGCCCACCTCTCGCACTCCTTTTCATCTCTCCTTTTCCCGCTACCAACTCCTCACTACTTGTCATTATATTCATTTTGCGCTTATTTACCATTTCGGACCTTTTACTCTTTCACTCTCACTTTCTCTTCAGCTCAGCATTTTCCAGAGCACTTGTGTCTGATGACTTCGTCGCTCTTCATCGAGACTCCTGAAACATTTTCATCAAATATTTATAGCCTCTCTCAAAATATTTTCATACATTATTGCTCGACTTTTCACCCTCCGCGACAAAATCTCGCTCGTTTTTCCAATCTACTCCCAGCTTGTCAAGCCACACTCTGTCGCTTTTTTCTTCCCTTTTTATTATATTAATCGTTCTTGATTGTTCCAGCAAGTATTCGAGCGCATATTAAGGGTCTCATTGGATGCATATCTATTAAAAAAAAAAAAAAAAAAAATAGGAGATGTTAAATTTGAGCAACGTATATTTAGTGGGATAAACTGTGGATTAAAGTCTACACCGCACCTGATTTTTACAAGCATATTACCAAATATTGATGCCTGAAGTCGAAAAATGAAAACCTTTATCTTAACGCTTCAAACTTGCCCATTCCGTTTTATTAATTTTAAAGGAAATTAGCCACCATGATGGCGCTCCGGAATTTCCCGTGAACGTATGGGAAAAATTCACGAGAAATGTCAAAAGGGTATATTAGTTCTTTAAATTCTTTAAAAATATAACATGAGCAGCGATTTGCAACGTCACAGTCATCCGAGGTGTACGTCTGTACGTTTTCCGACCTAAACCATCGATATCCTAAGCGCTGTACTATTACAGTGTTCTCGGAAATGTGAAATACTCTGAGCAGTGTTGAAGGCAAATTTCAGAACAAGAAACGTATATTGCATTATGTGCATTGTGCATTGATTGCTTGGTAGCATATTATAACAAATGATAAAACAGTCACACTAATCCTGAAGAATTCCATACTTTGCTTTATTTTTCGATTGAGATTCGAATAATATTTAAAAATAGATAACATTCGAATCAGGGCCGGATTTACCTACTTGCCGCCCATGGGCCGCCTGTCTTTTGCCGCCCCCTTCTCATTCATTTTGAAATCAATAAAAACCATCAAGTGAACTTGCCGGAGGGGTAGGGGAGGGGTGCATAAGACGCGTTTACTCGTGTTGCACACATTTTTTGCGAAAGCCCTGTCAACACTACTAGCAAAAGTTAACGGAACTTTGCTCGAAAGTTAAGTTCCGTAAACCCGTCTCTGTGTGAACAAGGCCTTCCATTCGTAAGAAATAAACGTAAAAATTATGCAAGAACAAACATATATGTGTTTTAATAATAATTTTAACCTCCGCCGCGGCGCTGCGCTGACCGCACTGTGTTTGACGCAATGCGTGAAGTGTTCATGAAGTCTGGTAGGTGCTATGCGTTTCACGTCAACCGCTGCGCTGCTGACCGCACTGTATTTGACGCAATGCGTGAAGTATTCATGCAGTCTTGCAGGTGCTAATATGTGTTACATGCCAACCGCCGCGCCGCGCTGAGGACTTCTCCTTTTCATCTCAAGTCCTCATCATCATTGCTCTCTGCGCCGCGTCGCTCCATGCCAAAATTGTGGATTTCTTGTGTCACCGAAAACCGAAAGACGCTTTTCTCGTTGGTAATTTTTTTTCTGAATCCGATTTTTTTTATACTTATATTTAAAAAAATTGCAAAATTTGCCGCTCCCTAAATTTTCCACCATGGGCTGTGGCCCATGTGGCCACCCCCTTAATCCGGCCCTGATTCGAATAAACTTTCTCCTTTCAATCTTCGGTGGTAGAAATATCGTTGTAGCTATTAGGCAGGGCATAATGTTCCTACGTTACAATATGAGTTTCCAATGTTAACAATGTAAATATTGTTCAAACGTACCATTGTTTAAAGAGGAATTTGTCAATTAAATTAGGAATTCCCTTTCTTTTTTATTACCTGTTAATAGTTACTACAAGTTCCACTATTTATAATGTAAGCTCTATGAGAGTGGTCAACATACATCAGAAAAATAGATGACAGATGTGTACTAGTGTAACTTACAACAAACAAGGGCACTCGCATCAGTAGACTTTCCTTTTGTCGATCTCTCAAAATCACGTGATCTTTTTTCAGAGATCTTTCAGAGAAATTTACCTTAGAAATCTCTCATAGCTTGGCCAATCTGGGAATGGATTATCCAGCTCCGATGGTTTCTTATGCAACGATCCAATAATAAATTTCGACGGGTAGTCCATTTTTTGGGACTTCTCCGCGTGAGACGTGAATGCGAGTCCTCCTTTTATCCTATGTATACCCTTACTGCAAATGATTGCCACAGGATGAAGAGGAGGAAGAATGAAAAAGGAGGAGAAGAATGAAAAAAACCAATAGAAACTTCAAGTTCAATGCCACCTTGCAGTTGTGTCTCCGTAGAACACACGTATGATATGGTAAGTGAACTCTAGTCATCCGCCTCTTCTCGTATCCCTCAACTGACTAACGATGTGCAACGCCTGTCGTTTGCTTGGATGCAACACTCGTAGCTTACGATTTTAGAATGAAGTTCATGATGACGCCTTTTTATGATGAAGTATCTTTTCGTCAGCGCCTGAATAAGCAAAGGCCTTATTACTATTATAGAAATGCGTGATGACTCTCTTAATATTCGTTCTTAATTCAAAAAGGGGAGAGAGGGAGGGAGTAAAAAGGGATAGAGAAGGGGGAAAGAAAGGGAAAAAGAAAAAATGGAGAGAATATATTTTATAGTAAAAGTTACGAAACATGAACACTATATGTCACCAATAAGATTCATAATGGAACTTGTCAAATTACGTTGAAAGTAATCTGAATTCAATTAGAGCTGAAATTAACCTCATCGTGGATGAATTCGGATTAAAACTTCTTATTCTGTAATTTTTCTCTCTCGCGAAAGTAAATAAATTAATTTGAACGAAATTGGGCTCTTTCATAAGACAATACACCGGTAGAAAAAATATATTCATAACTAAAAACCAAAACAAAACAGAGAATTTTGGACTGTCTAATAGTGTCTAATGGAGTCCTTGCTTTTTATAGCCATTATCTCTCGTAAATCATGGATGAGTATACCGTAAATTCAAAAAAGGAGGATGTCTTGCGTTAAAATTTAAAAATTTGATGAGGCTTTGAAAGGTAGGGTTCATTATTTTTCCTTATTAACCCTGAGACATTATCCCTTTATTAATGTATTTTAAAAGAAACGAAATGGAATATATTCCTTTGTCGACAAAGTCCATGATTAAAATTGAGGCATGGGAAACAGCCCGGACTTTTCATCCAAAATAAATCCCTTAGCATCGCATAGAAAGTTTTCTTGAAACTTGCTGAAATTCCTCCGTGCCTTGAATTGAGATTTTCATCCGAAACTAATATTTCATACCTGCAAGTAGAATTGCACTCGTGCATACGAAGTTCTCCCGTGGAAAAGAGGAGACTTAAAGGAGAGGGGGTAGCAGGGGAAGGACGTAGGCAGGATGAGGAAGTGGGAGACAGAGACAGGGAGAGATAAAATACGTACCTATGTGCCAAATCAAAATTCAAGAGGAAAAACGAAATAATAGAGTAAGCTTGTATTTTCATAAGTATTCTGCGAAAGAAGAAACAAGTCGCGATTGTGAGTTTCACGAAAAGTCCTTGAAAGAGAGACTCTTTTATTTCCTTTTTTAAATACCTCAGTTGATTTTGAGTTAAACACACTTTTCAATCATGTTTTCTTTATTTGCACGCTTTAATATCTCTTTCTTCTTGACTCGGCGGCAGCCCGGATAGCTATTTCGACTTTCTTCTCCACCTCTATAACTTAAAAGCTCTCTTATTTTTAGACACGTATCAACATTTATTTATATATTCTCTTTTCCTCCGTGCTCTCAGAGTAATCTAACGTCTTCCCCTTTTATTTCTCCCTTCACTCACACACACACATACGTACGCATATGTGCTTACATCCTTACGAATGTATGTATATTCAAACTTTGAGCTGCCCTATTTTATACTTCTGAGAATATGAAACTCGGCGATACATTCACTTCCGACACGTTCCAATTTAGGTATATGTTTAGATAGAACACGGTAAACATTTTTGAACTCCACGAACAAACACACAGATGGATGGAACCTTATTCTTGGATTGGATAGATAGTCAGTGCAAACTTCAATTCTGCAATAAATCTCATGACTACTTTCACAGAATAGCTAGAATACAGAATTTCCCCTTATTTTGCATGCACTTGCTAATACACATGTTGTGGAATACTAATGTTGTGGAATACGCATGTTGTGGATCATACCATAAGAAGGTTGTGGTCCAGCCTTTCACTGTCGTTTAGTCATTTGGTAGGTTTAGGTAGAGCAAAATAACCATTTGTCTCCATAAATACTCTCTGGGATTCCAAAAGGGTAGCATGCTTTATTTGAAATACGTTTGTCTGTACTGCCGTGCTAAGGAAAAACGCCGTATGAACCTTCAGGCGTTGCCGCATTTCCTTTGATAAGACACGAATTTCCTGATCAGCATATGAAATTTTTTCTTCAAATTTTCCAGATAATTTTGTCCGCAATTTTACCTAAAGTTCATGAAAATTTCAAGGATAAATATTCATAGCTTACCTTAAAAATAAACGTTTTATATAAGGAAATTTGGCAACTCTCGACTGTTCTTACGGCGTTCTTCTTTAGTGTGGCAGTTTAGGAAACTTTCGCAAACTCCCGCAAAAATTTAAACTTTCGGCGGCATATTCAGGTACATCCATACACGTTCTTGGAATAAAGAAGAAACCCCATTACGGAGTCATAATTTTTTTGCGTGTGTGTATGTTGGACTGAGATGATTTTAACTTTCCGAGATAACACCCAGATCCGTAGAAACGTATTCCTAAACAATAAAACTGCAGAAGAAAAATTTGGAACAACTTTGAAGGAGATGGACTCATTATTTGAGCGAAATTCGGTCACATATTCGCTGCATGCTTTTTTACTATTAACTATTTTTAAGTTGTATTCAGTAATGGATTACTCTCAGGCACAGGGGAGCTCGCTCACTGGATGTCGTACAAAATCAAGCTTTATTTATGTTCGGTAATTTCTCTTTGCAGCGATGCGAGACAAGAACATCAATAACTCCTAATTGTTTTTGTAATAGTGCACCTGAGAAAAATAGAGTCTCGTTAAGCAATACCGTTTCAAAGACCAATTATTTTTTTGTCGGGTTCGATTCAAAGGGCATGAATGGAAGGGTCTTTCCCGTTTTTGCACGCATGTTTGGCTATCGGAATTGAAAGTAGTTCATTACGCATAGTGGAAATTTTATTAAAATTATGAGTGAGACTTTTTTAAAAAAAAAGTAACTTCTAGAGTTAACTTAATGTAGGGGTAACTTCTAGAAACGTTTTTTGCGTGATAGCAGAACAGTTGCATTCCAGTGGCGTGGCGTGAATAATCGATAATCGATATCTCGCCATTTGAAGCTATGGTAAAGAATCGATTACTAAGGTGTTCGCTGCGAACACCCTGATAATCGATCTTTTTTCATGGGTTTAAATGGCATAACAATCGATATATCGCAATTCACGCCACGCCACTGTTGCATTCCGGTTTTATGAAAGTCTTAGAGGGTCATTTTGTGTAACAGTTACCAAAATGATCGAAAATGATGGGTTAATCAATTAAGCACGTACTTATGATTTTGTGCTTCCTGTGGGAATAATGCAACACTGATACCAATTCTTATTATTATATTAACCAGAACCTCGATGTATTGGTTTTCGCATTTTCAGACACTGAAAAAGAAACGCTGGCCGTGGAAGCCGTGCTTACGTACCGAATTCAACATCCCTCCCCCCGGCATTTGTATAATACTACTCGGAAGAAAATCATAATGCAAGAAGGTGATTTACCAGTGCTCTCTTCGTTTCTGTCCTAGATGTTAAATATTCATTTTCGTCTCCTCAAATCGTTCTCATCTACGAATTCTCGACCCTTACCAAATTTTTAAACTTACCAAAAAACATTTTGAAAGCTGCAAACTGTGAAAGCATAATTTTCATTTTGTTTCCCTTCATCAGGTTGAAAAGAACAAATGACCACGTCAAAACGAACAGCGTTGTAAACATGAGTTCGCCTAGTGCAAATTATTATAGACAATATTATCAGCCAAATGTGCAGGAAAGAGAGGATGCAATTAGAAGGTAAGGACGTACTTACCTACCCGTTCATTATCAGATTAAACATTTTTCATCGGGAAGATTTAATCTGCAATGACGGGTGAAATATTATGTCACACAGTATATTATGTAGCAAGACATGAATTCAGAATGAAAAATCTGGTTCCATACCAGTTTTGAAATGCAAGGGCGTTTGTGCGGAGGAAAAAAATGAATCCATTCTACCCTGGAAGGGTCGAAAATAATAATAAATAAATAAAAAAAAGAAAAAAGTAGGAAAGGTAAAATAAAACGGAACAAAAGGATCATTTTTACTCCCTGAATATCTGTTCTCTCTTCCCTTTTATTTTCACCCCTCCTCCATACTTCCCCCACGGAGCTTGCTTTGTTTTAGCTTTCTTCCGTTTCTACCGATAAATTTTACGATTTGTACGTTCCATTGCTCAATTTATAAATGTAAATGCTTTCTTCTATCACTCATGGAGAGTAGGTGTGATCATTGGTAATAATAGTTCCATCGGAGATGATTGTAGATAAATTCATTAATTGATGGTAAAATATCTCAGATTTTAAAAGTATTTTTGATCGGTATAAAGTGCGCTAAAATTTGCAAAAATAGCGTGGCTTCTTTTGAAAACGAAATTATCGCAATGCTGAGTCCAGCCTATTGTGAAGGGAATACAAGAAAATAAAATCTATTTTTTTTTTCAATTTTATTTAAACAAATTTTAATTACTTATATGTCTTCTATCTATCTACAAGAATCAAATTAAATGAAACCAAAAGTTAGTGTGATGGAGATTCAAAGAAGAACTTTAATACGTTTCTGTGGAAAGCTGGCTTATTTTTCTCCTAGAAAATACGGGAATGGAGTTTTACAAACTTTACAATCGACGTTTACGTAGAAACTTTTGGGGAGGGGGAAGGCGTACAAATCCCTTACCAGGCTTTACGGGCATTCAGCAATTACATAAAGTAACAGCTTTTTTGAAGGGGCGGACCCGACACTGCACCCATGTCGATCGAGATACGTGGTTTCCGCGTTATGGCATCGATTTATAGAGAAACCTCTCAAGGATCGAAACAAAATCCCAGATTGAGAGATCGCGAGAGAACGTTTACGTGAACTTACAGGGACCGCGACGTTGAAATGCATTCAAACAAATAATGCATTTTTTCGGAAAACTAACAATTTCGCAGTGAAGATCAAAAATAGTTTACTTCACTGGCATAATAAGAGGCGCTGAGATTAAGTTGAGATGAAAGGGAAACAAGCAAGGCGTCCGCAGTCAGTATTACACACGACGAACATCACTCGAATTTAAATATAACGGTTGAATACAACTATTCGAACCCCGCGGATGTCCGTGTTGCATATGCACGGAGTTGAAGGCGTTTTTGCCTTCCAGCACGCACCGCTTCTCTTGCAGCGCGACGCGACGGGCTTATTTTGAAAAAGTCTGCACCATCTATGCTAATTGCGCACTTAGAAGTGGATTTCAGACTTTTGATGTCCCCATCATGATTTTCGTGTCAGTTTACTCGTGAAAATTCAAATTAGACTATATCTCTTTCGTGCGCAGGATCCTTGTGATTAGAGTCCCTTTACTTTGAGAGTTAAGACAACACCCCCTGATGGAGTCACAAACGGGAATAAAGATTACACAAATGAATGTTTTTCATAATCTTTGATCGGCCAATTCTCAAATTCCTTTCCCCGTTCCTTCTCTCATTCCGCTAGCTTGTTCCTTGTCAAACCCGTTATCCCTCAGTCCATTCCAGATTATAATCTTTGAAATTGGTGAAAATGTAATCTTCATTCCCGTTTGTGACACTGTGGAGGCCTAAAATACGATAACCAATCAGAAATGGATTCGCATTGTCTTAACTGTCAGTATGAAGGGACTCTACTTTTGATGTGAGCTCTTCGCAAAATAGCGCCGCTGACATATTTTAGGCGTCGAGTCTTAATAGGCTCTCTTTCTTAAAACGGTGTTATTCATCTTAAATTGACCGCTTTAAGCAGAAAGGAACCAAGTCACATCAGCAATTACCAAATTTAATTGGGCAATTCAGTTTCTTACATAAAAATGTTTGTGCGGATTTTTGTGAAAATTGCAGTGAATTTCCTGCACAATACGAGGCAAATTCCTGAAAATTTTGAAAGAAATCCACACGAACGTTCTCTCGTAAAAAATTAAAATTTCTCAGTTAAATTTTGCAATACTGCCGTGCTAAGGAAGAACGCCGTAAGGACATTCGAGAGTTGCCAAATTTCTCTAGATAAAACATGTATTTTTGAGGGAAAAGATGCGTGAAATTTTCGGATATATTAAATCAAGTCGCGAACAAAATTATCTGAAAAATTCGGGGAAAAATTACTCAAAATTTGTTGAATAAATTTGGGTTTCAGTAAAGGAAATCTGGCAACGTCTTAAGGCTCATACGGCATTTTTTCTTAGCATGGCAGAATCGTTAACGTGGCTTGGTTCTTTTCTTCTTAACGCGGTCCAAATACAAATCGTCAATCAGTGAAACTGATGCGAAATAAGTGATGATTTTGTTGACTGCGGGGACCGCGGAGTAAGAGAACCAGTTCCAAGGTTGCGCACTATCCATTATCCAACCATCTGTTGCGATTTGCCGTCATGTGGGGTCACCTCGAGCACCTGCCGCACCTGCCTCCGCACTTTTCACATGTTAACCTCAGAGGATGGCAGTCCTGTTGGGTCTTTGATACTCAAGAAATGTGGACCTTTTCCTGTTTTTGAAAGGGTTGACGGTCTGTGCTGCCGTACTAAGGAAGAACGCCGTATGAGCCTTCAGAAGTTGCCAAGTTTCCTCCGATAAAAACCAAATTTACTGGGAATATTGCGAACATTATTTTTCAAAATTTTCAGACAACTTTGTACACAATTTAATCTAAAAAATCTGAAAATTTCAAGGACCATTATGCATGAATATAGTCAAAATTACATGTTCTATCCAGAGAAATTTGGCAACTCTTGAATGTTTATACAGCGTTCTTCCTTAGCACGGCAGTGTGGAACTCGCTACAAAATGGGCTGGGGATACGAATTTCATGAAATAAAAAAGAACTAATTTGGTGACTACACTAACTGAACAGAGTTGAAAATCCGTGGAACTTGCGGCAAAATTTGGCGAGAGATAAAACGGAGTGGATAACTTAAATAGGAACTAATTTTGCGGCACATTTTGAAAACGGTTCACGAACTGCAAAGGGTGCGATGCTGCTTTTTCAGTATATCCTCTATTATTCCTGGAAATATTACCTCTGAGAAAAAATGCAATATTTCTATGAGGGATATCGCACCAGTGTTGCAGATCAATATTAGGAAAAAATAGTGCTGATATTATTTCCGGTCTATATATTAATTTACGCTGTTCTTTCATCACTTCTATGCCTTTCTTACCCAATTTCGGGTAATATGTCATCAATGTTCCTGCGCGGATAGGTGCCTCTATAGTCAAACTGCGGGGGATAGTTCATTTTTTGTGCAATGAGATATTCCAATGAATAATTCTCGCATACGAAATTTCCCGTTGAGTCAACAGGCAATCTTGTTTCGAACAGCACCTCTCTTATTTTAAAGAGACACATCTCTCCACTTAAAAGAGGTTTACGGTTGACTCAACGCAACTCCTTGTCTGAGAATTATTAACTGTGAAATTTTTTTCGGCGTGACCAGGGCCGAAATGATGGGAGAAGGAGAAGGGCCAGCGGGCAGAGGCAATTTTTAAGGGGCCCGGGCTTCACACCGATGGAGGGGGGAGGTTTGGAGTACGAAATACTTAAAAGAAGACAGAGNCTCGCGGGGCTCCGCCTTCTGGCTAACTTTTCAAAATCTCAACCGTTAGACGTAATCTTTGTCTAGAAATACGGGAAATATCAGGGCATCCAGCGGGCCGATTATTGAAATTGATAGACGAAGCTTTAGGAAAATATGACAAAAGGGATATGGAGAGATCCTATTGGTGAAAGCTGGTGGTTGCAATGGACAAAGACAGTGGGTAATAGACAAACTAACGGCAACCCACGAGAAACCCGACAGTTAGTCCATCATTTTCTTCCTTAGTCTATAGGAACCAACCATGTCAACCAATAGGATCGATCCATACTCCCTATGTCTATCGCTTTGTCTATCAGTTCCAATAATCGATCCGCAGGGGCCTGAAAAATCTAGAATAATCAGGGACTTTGTTTTAGAACCATTTAAAACTGCGAAAAATGTCGTCAATGTCAAAATTTCCCTGAATTTTAGGTGTAGGCGGCCCGACCTCCTATGTGGCCGGATAGTGGAATCACTGTTAGAGGTCACGATTGCTCGAGGAAGAAAGCAGGTGGGTGTCCACCCAGGACGTTTGCAGTGGCGCAGCGTGCTTTGCGATATATCGATTGATCTACCATTTACACCTATGGAAAAGGATCGATTATTAGTAGTAATAATCGATAATACTAGTAGTACTAATAATCGGTTCTTGACCACACCTTCAAATGGGGAAATATCGATAGATCGCAAAGAACGCCACGCTACTGGCGGGGAGAGATGGCTTTACCTCGTATTCTTTATTTTCTTCAAGATATTTTGCTACTTATCACTTTGAAATCACTCTGTGGAAAAATGTATATTCCTAAATCGCTGTATTTGTGTATCGAGGCATTTTTGTGATTGAGAAATAATTAAAACATATACATAAATGATTAAATACAAATATTCACCTACAAATGATGAGAGTTTCGCATAACGCATTACGTTAGCTAA